GAAATTCATAGGCGCTTTTAAGGTATAGCGGACTCTCGAAGTAACAATTTCAAGTCGAAAGACTACAATATGACTTGTATTTAGTTAAAAAACTGTTTTCTAGTGAAGTTTAGTGTCTTTGAGCGGTTAACAGTGTGGTTTCCGTGGCTTTCAAAAAGGGCAGTGATTTTGTATTTGTTGTGATTATACTTGCTTTTGGTACTTATTGCACTAAAAGCATTCTTGGTCGACTTTAACTAAGAGTTCTTTGGTTAAAGTTTTAAATTTTTTGCTAAATTTTATCCTGGGTACCTTTTCTTACTCCTGACTAACACTTGCGTTCAGATTGTGATCATTTTGTGTTTTTAAACTTTTTAAATCGAATTACAATGGTTGGTAAGACTCACAAATATGGGCAACCAAACTGTTTGTTCCCCATGGAGGAGGGAATGCAATGTGACGATTGTAAACATTGGTACCACAAAATGTGTACTCGACTATGTCCGACGGCTTACAAAGTATGCTCGAAGCCTAATTCGCATTGGCTTTGTATGTTCTGCTGTACGGATAAAAGGTACTAATACAGGAGGCTATGGGCCTATTGGCTTTGGCCTGCTAGAAAAACGATGGCGGAAGCACTGATAACAGGAGCACTGACGATGAAGAATGTGTCAGTGTAGTAAGTGCTGCTACTGGACCCGTTAAACACCTGACTGCGGTTGACGGGAACGTGAAATCTGCGTTGACATTAGCAAGGAATGAAGTGCCGCTTGATATTGACATCGGCAGTCATACACCTCTAGTCGAAATAGAAGATCCGGATAAAACTGTCACCGTTCCACATAGTCCAGGTGTGGCTGTTCTGAGGGGCGACAAATGGAATTCGGTAAGAAGAAAAAAAATAAGAAAGAGGCTGTAGGCAAAACGAAGCTGGTCAGCAAGACATTGGAAGGGATGTTATCAGAAGAAAAATCCTCACCGCGTGACAAGACAGATCTCTCTGACAGATCAGTCATTTTTCATAAGATAAGGGAATCTTCAGATACTGAACCAAGGGCAAGATTTGAACATGATCTCAATCATATTAAGACATCATTAAGTATACGAAGCCTACTCAAGACCCTATGATACCTGAAAAAAAATAATACAAAAAAATGAAAGGGCTCTAATTGCTTCGATAATAAAAGGAAGATAGCCAATTGTATATCACAATACTATTTCTAGCACCATATTTTATTTTATAAACACACATAATCCCATACTCTCAGCTCCTTTCCAAATCGCCTCTATTTGTCAGTTGTATGCCCACTCATACCTTGTTTACACTCATTTTCTTTAACCTATTAAATGCTCATTCTTAACAAATAACTTAATAAAAGAAAATAAGACTGAGTAATCATAACTTAAACATTCCTTCATAAATATTGGCTACTCTGCCTCTCGTCCTTTCTTTTACTTGCTCCCTCTTTCAGCCCCCTTGTGATATGGAACGAAAGATTTTATCCTGCACCATCCTCAAAGCCTTAGACATTCCAAAGGGACATAAGGTTGCGAGATTTAGAAGCTCCCACCTTCAATGGACCTACCCTTGACCATCAGTTGCACATTCGCAACGCAACTTTTGTGAAGCGCGCCAACTGTGATACTGATTAAAACCATCTACATTCATATCTTATAAATTATCAACCCAGCTGTGTAATTTACTACAGTGGATATTGTATCATTTGTATCAATTTGATATTGCCTGTAAACTGGCATGCATCATGTAACAAACTGTTATTTGAGAATAAATTATTATTATTCTTATTATTATTATTAAACTACTCCCAGATACAGTTTCAGGAGTTAGTATTTGTAAGCTTTATAGAATAGGAAAAACGTGGATTCCGAAAGTCCTCAGAAAAACCGCCTCCTAAAGGTTACATTCAACACGGTGGAAGAAAGGAACCTGATTCTAAGTAATTCACGTAAACTGATTGGATCCGTAATATATGTCCGTGAGGACCTCAGCCTAGCTGATCGTATTAAGAGAAGAGCTGCAGAAGCGGAAATAAACGAGCGTCGCCGAAACGGTGAAAGAAACCTCGTTCTTAAGGGTTTTCAGATTGTAAAAGTTCGGAGCAAAACGATCCCCAAGCCACTCTGGGTGGCAAGGGAAAGCTCTCCACAGACTTAAAAGTGTGCTACACAAATGCTCGCAGCCTACTAAATAAAATGGCGGAGCTGAAGTCAGTGGTGGATAAAGAAAAACCGGACGTTATCGCTGTCTCGGAAACTTGGTTAACGTCAGAAGTATTAGATAGTGAAATCCAATTGACTGGTTTCATAACCAGTAGGGCTGATAGATTAAACCGAAGGGGAGGCGGGGTTATTGTGTACACGAAAAGTACCCTAACCATAAGATTAGCTGAGACAGTAGCACATGTTTCAGGGACATGTGAACTGGTGAGATGTAAGTTGAAATGCCGAAGGCAAGATATTGAAGTAGTTGTAGTTTATCGCAGTCCAGAATGTGTAGCAGATGATTTTCTCCTTAGTAAACTTAAGTCCTGGTGTAACAACGGTAAAAGCCTTGTAGTAGGCGACTTTAATGCACCATATATAAACTGGGTTAACTTAGAAGTAGGGTCATCCATATCGTCGTTCGACTGCAAACTGTTAGAAACCTCGATTGGACTAGCATTATTCCAACACATTAGAGATCTCACAAGATACGGCTTAAGAAACTCTTCTTCTCTTTTAGATTTAGTCTTCACACACGGTGATGACGTTGGTCAAACGGCTTTTCTCCCACCACTTGGGAGAAGTGACCATGCAGTCATCTTATTCAAATTCATGGCTGAGATTGCTTGTCAAACAATTGCGCCGGCCCGTCCTAACATATGGAAGGCAGATATGCAGGCAATTAACTCCGCAGCATCGGCTGAGAACTGGGAAATTGACTCAAAGGCATCAGTACAAGAGGCATGGACTCTATTCAGGCAGTTATACAATCGGGTAACTCAACCATACATACCCTGGACTGTCCCAAAGAAAAAGAAGCACGGACATCCCTGGATAGGGCGGGATATTCGACGCTTACTAAGACAAAAGAAGAAATGCTGGGATGTAGCCATTCGCCTTGGCACAGCAGGAACGATGGAACGCTACAGATCGATAAGAAACGAGTGTATAACTAAAATTCGGGAAGCGCAAAGAAAATATGAAATGCAGCTGGCAGAATCTGCACTCAAGCAGCCCAAGAGGATATTCTCGTACATAAACTACAGAACAAGGATTCATCATTGGATTCCCAACCTAATTAAAGTAGGAAGCGAATCTGAAATGATAGAGGAAGATCAGGAAAAAGCTGAGGTTATGGCTGACTACTTTGGGGCAGTTTTCACTCAGGAACCTCCTCTAGAGAAAGAACCAGACCCAATTACAGAGTCAACAAACCAGCTGCTCACCGTGGACTTCGACCAAAACGATGTGCTTAAGGCTCTTAGCACCCTAAACATGGAGAAGTCAACAGGACCAGATGAACTACACCCTAAAATCTTGAGACATATTGCCGAATATATCGCAGCCCCACTGACTGTGATATTCAAAATGTCACTTGACCAAGGTGTGTTACCTATGGACTGGAAGGACGCAATCGTCACTCCCATACATAAAACAGGTCTACGACAAGTTCCATCAAATTACAGACCCGTAAGCCTCACCAGTGTTGTAATTAAAATACTGGAAAGAATAATCAAACGGACCATAACAGCATTTATGGAAACCAATAACTTGCTGAACATGGCACAACATGGTTTTAGAAAGGGTCTATCCTGTACAACGAACCTCCTTATAGCTAGGGAGCTCTGGATTAATGCGCTAGACAACGGAAACTCAGTGGATGTTGTCTACATAGACTTCAGTAAGGCTTTTGACAAGGTGCCAACTAATAGACTGCTATTGAAGTTGGCAAACCTTGGTATTGCCGGACCTCTTTTAAAATGGATTAAGGATTTCCTAGTAGGTCGTAGGCAAAAAGTAAGAATAAATTCCAAGTGCTCCATCTGGAGACCAGTACTTAGTGGAGTACCCCAAGGTTCCGTCTTAGGTCCTTTACTTTTTATAATGTACGTTAATGATCTTACAAGTATAGTACAGTCTCCAATGTTATTATACGCTGACGATGTAAAAATTTGGCGAGTAATAACTGGAGACAAAGACGCATTTACTCTTCAGGCGGACTTAAATAATATGATAAACTGGTCTAAAGAGTGGCTAATGCCTATCAACTCGGAAAAGTGTGTCTACATGCACTTGGGGGATTCAAAGGTTAATACGTACAACATAGGGGATGTGTCATTACCCGTAGTCCGGTCTCATAAGGACCTAGGGGTGACAGTGAGTAATGATCTTAAGACGACGGCCCATTGCCGGGAGGTCGCAGCTAAGGGGTTTCGAACCCTCTGGGCTTTAAAAAGGACATTCAATAAGTTAGATACTACCATGTTCACCACAGTATACACATCCTTAGTGAGAACTAAGCTAGAGAACTGCGCTCAGGCTGCAAGCCCCTGTTTAAAAGGTGACTCGGACATACTAGAAAAAGTACAAAGGGCAGCTACCCGTGCAATTCCGGAACTCCGGGGTTTATCATAAAAAGAGCGGCTTGAAAAACTGGACCTCTTTACTCTGTCCTATCGCAGACTAAGGGGAGATCTAATATTGATGTACAGAATACTGAGAAATGATTTCGGACCTAACTTATTCTCTCTCTTTCTTCCCACTAGATCGGGACACCTCAGAGGACATAGCAGGCGAGTAGAAAAGCCAAGAACGAACAAAATACCCGTGGCATACAGGTTTTCACACCGAGTCATCAATATTTAGAACCTGCTGCCTGAAGCAGTGGTGTCCGCACCTTCAATTGACTCTTTCAAGAGAAGACTGGATACTAACAGAAGCATACTAGAAAAGGAATAAAATAGACTGTAGGCCTTCTGTCCTTACTACATAAATCTGAATCTTTGTTTTGTGGTTTCGCGAAAATGAACTTTATTTCCGCACACTTTTTGAACTTTTTATTTGTTGCTGTTTTGTGGAAACGTTAACTACATTTCTTATTATGGCTGGAATAGGAATGGCGAATGAAACAGTATATTTATCAATATCGTATTAATTTTTCTTACATTTAGCATCACGTGATTGACACAGAAGTGTGTCAGTTAAATGTGTTTGTACAGGTACGATAAATTTTTAACCAAAAAGGAGTTTGGAGTATTCTGAATAGCTTAAGTGTTTGATTAATTTTTGCAGTTCAGACATTGATTATGTTGCGCTTGAAGGTCTTTATAACCTTAGGCAGAATTTCCGTCAACTCTTAGTTTCAGATCAATGAACATCTTTTTTGTACTTAAGACTAAATAGACACCATACTTCAGAGACCATAACATTATAAGGCAAGTTTCATAATTGTCGTGCGTTTGAACACCTAAAATGTAATCTCTGATCGTTTTTAAGCATGAGTAACTTAAGGTTTTTTTCAAGGACTTCATTATTATCACGTAACGATATATAACAGTAAATAAGATTGATTTGTTGTAAATATACCTTATGCAAAGGGAAAATTTTGCACCGACTTCAGAAGAGCCGTACCGTGTCATCGTATCTGCTATCTAAACAGAACAACTTTATCCAATGCAGCAACCACACAAGTACCAAGAACTTTGGTGGACCATGATGAGATAGAAATGATAAAATTTCACAATCGCTCACAGAGGTAAATTAAGGTGTTACGTGGTGAGTAAACCCTGTGAAGGAAATGTATTTGATGACACGTTAGTTACTGAGAAACTGTTTATCCATAGTCATCACTCAGAAATCCTTCTTATCAGTTCAAAGCATTAAAATCGAAGCCAAAATATAAGTAAGACATAGAATGGAAAGAAGATTCCATACTTAGATGATAATGATCGAAACGATCTTGATGGTGAACTCTTCAAAGTATGCGACTCCTTCTAAAACGAAAAGTACAATACCTTTTATAAAATGTAACTGATAGTATTATGAATAGTGTCTAACAAAAATAATGTTTGCCTGTACATGAAATTTCTGTGTTACATCAAATATCTCTTTTTGTGAATCAAAACAGTGGTCGTTTTCCCTGTTAAGGTTTGAAAAGAACTAAGTTAAAAGTCTGTGGGTCATCCGAAGAAACTTTGAAAGCTGAACTTCTAGAATGGAGAAAAACATACAGTTATGTAACATGATGCAAAATCTGGAATCAGTACTTCTAAAGCTTGTAAGGTCAAATGCTGTTCCTGCGAAGACATAGAAGGAAAAATGACCCGCTGTCATTACTGCAATTGACAAACCACAATAAATTGACATTTTAAAATAGAATAGACAGCTGTATTTGAACTGACTTTCTTTTTGAATAGATAATTGAGAAACTTAGGTTCTGTTTTACAAGTATTTAATCCGAAAAACTCCGAATTATATATTTTTTGCTGCAAGCGAAAAACAAATATATCCAGTCGCAAGTTTACAAGTGATAGGCTCCACTCATTCAAAATTTACAGGGACAGATTTTCATTTACTACTTATGCACAGCTCATTTCATGAGGATTAATGAAACACACTTTAGTTCATTTCGATGATCTTCCAACCGATATCTAAGCATTTTTACCTGAGTTTCAGGAAGTATAAATGATTAGAATCTAGGAGTTTCTTCTCACATCTAACTTTGTCTAATACATCAGTCTAATATCTGCTATTCGGGAAATTTCACTATCAAATTTCGTCGGACTACTTGTTTACTTACCAATTGGTTATATTATCAATGGAAAACTCCAAGCGATAAATATTGTCCAAATAATCATAATAATTATATTCAAATTAAACATATTACACATAGATCCAGTGTCTCTGGGTATTCAACACCACATTTTTTATTTAGGTTTCAATGAGTTAGTCCCAAGTTGCTGATCGAACTAGTCTCTGAAAGTAGAACTTTTTAATTTGGGTACGCAATATCGGATAAGTTACATCAGAAATCTCAAGAACTTGTGGAAATACAAAGTTCAAATAGATACCTACAAACTACTCTTCAAACAAACTGACACATCACTCAATGATTTAGTAGTGCTTAATTGTTTGCTTTAAAAACTCTAAACCTGGAAGCATTTCAGTTTAAAAAGCATGAACATTGAGGTAGCTCCTTCCATAAACGTCGAAAATTGCGAGCAATAGCCCTATTGAGTTCCAAAATATTTATGTTGCTTACAGGTTAGTAAATAAAATTTCACAAAGTTGCAGGAAATGATGTCATCTTTAGCAATTAGATCCACAGCCAAAAAAGAGTAGTTTTTACTGTGACATTTTGTTATTTTTGCGGCTGTTTAACGTTCCTATAGCCAATATAAGGTAAATTGCAATGACTGAGCAAGTGGTAATAATCACACTACAATCACCTCCATGCGTTCTGTTAAGTTTTAGTGCAGCAGTATAGCATAAGTTTTAGAAGTGTTTTATAACGCAAAGTATAAGTAAAAAGCACTTCTTCCAAGCATCTAATGCATAACGTTCTATTATTTTAATCAAAGTAAAACTTTACTACGGTGTCTTAAATATACACGGTCAACTTTTGCGTGTACAGATGGGAAGTTATTTGTAGCTTTTCTGATATATTCGGGGTACTATAGCAACTTTTATGAAATTTGCTCAAATACTATATCTTTTTAATGTACGTGCATGCTAGTGAAGACACTTATCTTTGAAACCATAATTACTGTTACAATAAATATCATGAATGATGTGGAAGTCTTCGTTTTTCATTGCCTATTGTAATTCTTTTTTTCAGGGCAGAATTATGCCTTCAAAGCCTGTATTTCTTACTTGCCATGATTTGGGCTGTAATCGTGAGTTATTATTTAATAACTATTTTGTACATTCTGAGAGGACAATATTCACTAAAACACCTGATTACCAATTGAATATTATTTCTTAATTCATCAAAGTTTCTACTTTGTTCGCTAGGACGGTTATAATTTTTATTGGAGTTGGTTGTTTAGATTTCATTCATGATAGAATCAAAACTAAAGTTCATTATGAGCTAATTAGTGATTCAGTTTTAGCTCATATAGTAAGCCGTAACTTATGATCCCTATGTGATGGTTATTGATTGTTATCCAATATCTGATTTGTAGTGTTACGTCAAAAAGTCAAGTTTAAACAAGTGAGTTACACCACTATACTAAAACTTCCTAAAAGTAGGTAGAATGTCTACTGGACGTTGTAAGTGAACAGTATAGTAGGTGCTGCTTCTCAAACTACTTTATATTATTTCTGATTTTAAAAGCCTCAATTAGAGCAAGTTTGTTTAATGGTACAATGTTTGAAATAAATGCGTTATATTGGGATTTGATTGACCCATAGTTTTAACATGGTCTACTAAACTCTGGGATGTATATATATATGTATATATAATATAGCTTCATTTTTTAGAATGGTAAATGAATCCATGAATCATGGCTAACCAAATTATATACATAAAGACTTATGGCAGTATTTAGATACATCAAAATAATAAACTTCAGATGTTATAACAAATGCATTCTAAATTCCACTATTAATAACCACTAAACTCAGAATGTCACTTCACTTATTCTAACTGAGATTATTTGCACTGCTTTCATTGTCCAAGTGTGTTGCACTCAGATATTTCGAACAAATTTTTGTTTATTTAACTAGCAACTTCTAGATAATAGAGCATAATTTCCACCAAAAATTTGATAGTTATCAGCTGTCTGACAAAAATAAGTTCAGTGTAGCACACCCCAAAGAGACTAACAAAAAGCATAAATATGGCGGAATTCAACTTTTGAATTGTGATTTTTAATAGAAGCGATAATTCGTATCACTTACTGGATAACCGAACTGAAAAATATCCGAAATTTTATGTTTAGATATACAACAACTTGATTATATATATATATGCCTTATAAACAGGAATTAAAATATATCTACTTGTTGAATACCAAGAAAAAAATTTAATTAGTTTTCAAGTTATGAATTCTGAATCTTAAGCTTTTCATTTTTGAAAAAATATGACATGACATTTAGTAAAATGATTTCTCTTATCTTCTTGAGTTTGTTATATTAAAACAGATAAGATAAACAGAATTTTAATTTAGAATGATTTGCAAAATGAACTTTTTAAGGACATGTTTTTGCAAACGTGTAAAAGGTATTTGAACTTTTTTAATAATGGGCTACATTGGGGTCCGGCATATATACTTCCTAATTGAAACTTATCAAATAAGTCTACCTCAATCCTGAAGTTGATGTTTATGCTATAAAAGCCAATGCAATGTCAAATAAACCATTGGGTTGTGGTATTTATTAAACTTTTAACGGATTTGATATTTATGAATATTTTTTAGGGCTTATTGTTTTGATTATCTTTGATCTCACTTTATCGATTCCTATCAGGACATAGGCCATAGGTAGATAACTTTATCCATCATCTGTATAAGATTTCCATCTCAGTGAAAACATAAATGTTAGACATATACAGCTAACGAGCTTTATGAAGAATGAAATACTCACCCAGATTTTAATTGGTATTGACAGTGCAATTTATTGAGACTGTCACATAAAGAGGTGATGTACCAACAAAGCTTGTAATTTTCAGCGTTATTTTTATACAAGTACTTCTTTAATACTTAATTGGCACCTCAAGTTCAGATTATTTCCTGATTAAACAAGTAAAAGTGACTGTTTTTCTTTACCTTGTTAGTTAAACTACATGTCAAACTATACAATGCTTCTTAATTGTTTTTTCGAATACATTATTTTATGATAAGAGATGTAATCCTCACAAGAAATTGCTAAGTTTAATCGAAATTTGTGCAATGATTGTACGCATCTAGTCAAATCATTATTTGTGTATAGTGACGGACGTTTGGACGTAAAACTGCTTTTTGTGTAAAAAGAATTAACCAGTAAAGAAAATTTAAATCTTAGAGCGCTAATTTTAAGTAAAATAGTCCTGATTTCATTGAAAATGTCATCGGAAGTTTCTCAATTAAACCATCTGGCATAGATAGTGTTATACCCTCAAAAATACTTATGTACGACAAATATAAAGTCAAGGTGCTTCACGGAAGTATTAGGCTACTCAATTGACATGGTTAGATTGAAGTTGATCAGTGAAGTTTAGCTAATACTCGAAATTCAAGCTGCATAGAATTGGTCAACGTTCAAACATAAACTAAATTCATCAATCAAGATAAACATAGTGTTAGTATAAGCTCTATGATTTCAGTAATAAATTATTTAGTCAGTATTAAAAGTTTTTGGATGGTTGTGCCAAGTTTGCCAATCATATATGTACAGTTCATTAATTAGCGTAGGTAAAGAGGGAGTTTAGGATCAAAATTTCCTGTTGATAGTTTTCAGTAATCTTGTATCACGTGTGCTAGACTGTGATGTAATGCCTAATAATCACAATCCCATAACACAACATTAAAAAAGATCACTTATACCATATGACTCAAACAAGCGATTCGATTATATCTCCAAAAAACGTGTCTTCCCTTTCTCTCTGTCTCTACCTCTTACATTTTAGTTTTGCCTTTAGGTCACTTTGCAAAACAATCAGTATTCGTTGATAGTCAGGACTGAAACTGATCAGTCTTTGTTGAGATATGTGTATGTTTTTTTAATGTTGTCTGAAACAATATCCCTTAGGTTTTAGTCCTCATATGAATATTAACACATATACAGGAATATACAGTTTATGAGTCCCAATGTTGAATAAAATTTAAAAATCATTAGAAAAGCACTACGAAATCTTGTTTGATTTAGTATAAATTAGAAAAATTGCTTAAAACTAAATATTAGTCAGTTTTATTTGTAGTATAGAATTTCCTTTAATTAATACTGTCCCTTCTTTGTTTTTTACCATAACGTTGTTTCTATTAAAAAAGTAAGGAATGATCGGTTACTACATGAATATGGTATTTCATTTAAATTCTTTTATATAAATCTCTATTTCTTCTTTCATTGATTTATGCTTAGACATTTTACTAGTAAATGTTATGTCTGACCATAAAAAATTACATATATATGTATTACATTGGAGATAACATAGTTTATAGTAGACATCTTGATATGCCTATATGTGTAAATAAAACATTCGTAGTTTCTTGAGCATATGAAAGCCTAATTGTAAAACTTTTCTCTTTAGGTTGAAATGTAAAGTTGTAGGAGTGACATCCACTAGGTTTTATTTCTATGCTAAACTACCTAGAATTTCTTTTAACATTTGTTTACTACTCTCCAAATTTTCATGAATAAAAGTTATAGTTTTAACTTCAAGCTAAGTAAATTCTTTAGTGGCAACTGTCTTAGGAGAGCAGTAAGCATTTCGAAAAAAGTGTATGAGAAATTAGGACTTATTCAGTAGTTTCCATCCATCCCTTCAACTAAACAGTAATTATGTATTTACTTATTAAATAAGCTTTTTTCTCTATCTTCGTTAATTATAATACCGGAATGCAAATAAATATTACAAAGCATATTTGTTGAACACATTTTGTTAAATAAATATAATCGGAACACTTGATTATATATATTCTCTAACATTTATTGTATGTTCACTTGGTATTGTTTTACTTGAATCATCCCATTGATGTTTAGGCCTGCAATTGATCTTATTGGCATATGTGCATATTGAACGTATTGCCTCGATATTTCCTTAATTCATAAGCATCATATACTGTATATGTTAAATAAGGTCAACTGCTTTAGGCCACCTGTATATATACTGCTTAATAATAAGGAAGTTAACTCTCTGTTGAAAATTCCTTGAAATGGGATGAATTTTTTAAATGAATTAAACAGAAATAAGTGAATGTTCTACTAGTTTTCCTCATAATATGACCTTAAAAATATTAACTGTGTTAAAATTATAGTGATAAATGCTGACTTGATTGTTAGCATTGTTGTTATTGTCTTCCTCTTATTATATATATTTTGTAAAATAATTCTAAGTGGGAGATCGATTTGTTTATTTTGTATTGACTTTCCGTTTTGGTTATTACTTTCAGATCAATAAATGCATTAATTGACAAATGCCCTATGAAATAAATCGTTTCTCTCTTTCTCTCCGCCTGAATCTAATCATTTTTATGCTGAAATAAGAATATCTAGGGCACTAGTACGAATTTGTAAGAACGAATTTCAATATAAACACCCTCATTGTAACTATTTGGTCTAAGTTAGTTTTAATTCAAACATTTAAATAGTACCCAAAGGTTATCAATTCAAGTCTAACTAATCTCAGAAATTTTTCAGGAATATTTCTGAAGTCAATCAATTCATCGTCGACAATTCAGGATCTAGGACAAGTTTCAATTCGACAAATATTGCCATGCTTTACAATGATAAGAGATAAACAAGCAAAAGACCGGAATATTATATATGACTACATAAATGGTGGCGGTATACTTAATACAGAAAACGTAATTGAAAAAAGTCCGAAAAAGTCTGAAGGTTTCGTAGGAAGTGATGGAATTTCAGCCCCTGTATTACTAAAAACGATCATCAGTTATGTAACCTAAAATCTGTAGGCATAACTTATGATTATTTTGATAGGTTAAATCAAGAAGTCTGCATATGCATACATGAGTTAGGCCATTATGTTTTCATCTGGCTATTGTTACCCATCTGTAAACATACTATAATAGAAAAAACAGTACATTTTAATTGACAGTTGAGAATATGTTGCAAACGTTCTGGCCACCTGAATCAATGACGCCTCACCGTATATAAACCAGCTCACGATTTTTATATATTACTCCTATACGGAACCTCAGCATTACTGACTTGTTAATTACACCCTGGGGAAACGATA